GGAATGTCCAACCAAGGAGAAGGAGGCCCATCATGCTGAGACTCAAGAAGAACTATTACTAATGGCGCAGGTTGATAATACCACAAAAAGTCATGATGATCAATGGTTCCTTGATTCGGGATGTAGCAATCATATGTGCGGTAACAAATTTTCTTTCTTTGACCTTGATGAAAGTTATCGTGATTCAGTTAAACTAGGAAACAATACTTCTATGGCTGTGTTGGGCAAGGGTAATATGAGATTGCAGGTAAATGGCAAGGCACACATCATGACTGATGTCTTCTTTGTGCCCGAGCTAAGAAATAATCTACTGAGTATAGGGCAGCTACAGGCCAAAGACCTGACCATTATGTTTCAACATCACAAATACAAGATATTTCATCCTGAACGTGGTCTACTTATGGAAATAGAGATGACTGTCAACCGAATGTTCATTCTCCATGCCGTAGCCCAACCTATGACTTCCACGTGCTATAATACTGTTTCAGAAGATGAGGGATATCTATGGCATTGTCGCTATGGACATTTGAGTTCCAAGGGACTACAAACTCTTCTAAAGAAACAGATGGTAACGGATCTTCCTCAATTGAAGTCTCCAATCAAGATCTGTAAGGACTGCTGGGTTGGAAAGCAACACAGAGATCCATTTCCTTCCTATAGCACCTGACGAGCAGAGAAAATCCTACAGTTGATACACGCTGATATCTGTGGGCCAATCAAACCAGAATCCAATAGTGAAAAAAGGTACATACTCATAATAACTGATGACTTCAGTCGTAAAACGTGGGTTATTTTTTGAGCACGAAATCAGAAGCTTTTAATGTCTTCAAAAGCTTTAAAATCCATGTTGAGAAGGAGACTAGTCAGGTTATCAAAGGATTACGTACTGATCGAGGAGGGGAGTTCACTTCACAGGAGTTCATTAGCTATTGTGCTAATCATGGCATAAAACACCAACTGACTGCTACATATTCCCCATAGCAAAACGGAGTCACGGAACGTAAGAATCAAACAATAATGAATATTGTTCGAAGCATGTTATCAAATAGGCAGGTTCCTCGCACTTTTTGGCCTGAAGCGGTCAATTGGACCGTCCATATTTTGAACCGAAGTCCTACTCTTGCCGAGAAGAATAAAACTCCTGAAGAAGCTTGGAGTGGTATCCGACCCTCAGTTGAGTATTTTCGTGTTTTTGGTTGTATTGCTAATGTTCATGTCCCTGATGCTAGGCGAACTAAGCTTGATGACAAGAGCTTTCCTTGTGTTCTACTTGGGGTCAGTGAAGTTTCTAAAGCCTACAGATTATATGATCTTGTATCCAAACGGATCATTATTAGTAGGGATGTCATCTTTGAAGAGGACAAAGCCTAGAATTGGCATAAGACCACTAAACCAGCATCGATGTGTGACTTGGAGTGTGGTGACATGACAGAGGAGGACATTGTTGAGCCTACTGGTATTGAAACAATCATTATTGTCGCTGCAATAGAACCACAATTATCTGCTCTCGATGGTGCCCCAAATGATACTGTAGACGCACAATTTCCAACTCAAGCCGAATCTTGCACCCGGTAGTTCCCGAGATCGGCTACAATCTACCTGGATGGATGATTATGTGACAGGAGAAGGACTATCTGAGGATGAACATGCAGATCACTTGGCTCATTTGGCTTTGCACACATCCAACTTGCTTTGATGATGCCGTTAAGAGTGAGAAGTGGAGGCAAGTAATGGACATAGAGATTGACTCCATCAAAAAGAATGATACGTGGGATTTGGTGGACTTGCCCAGAGGTGGAAAGATAGTTGGTCTAAAGTGGATTTACAAGACCAAATATAATGAAACAGGAGCTATTGAGAAATACAAAGCACGCCTTGTTGCCAAAGCTTTACACAACAACAGGGGGTTGACTACAATGAAGTATTTGCACCTGTAGCACGACTGGAGACCATTCGTTTGGTGTTGGCACTAGCAGCACATCATGGTTGGCCACTTTACCAACTTGATGTCAAATTAGCATTTTTGTATGGGGAGATAGCTGAAGAAGTTTTTGTAGAACAGCCATGTGGGTATGTCAAAAAGGGACATGAAGAGAAGGTATACTGACTAAAGATAGCACTTTACGGCCTCAAACAAGCCCCGCGAGGGTGGTATAGTCCAATCGAAGCTTATTTCTTGAAGATGGGCTTTGAAAAGTGTGATTATGAACACACTTTGTTCATCAAAACTGAATAAGGAGGCAAGATCCTAATTGTCAGCATGTACGTGGATGATCTCATCTACACAAGCAATGGTCCTTCACTGTTCACTACATTTATGAATTCCATGAAGCAAGAATTCGATATGACAAACCTAGGCAAGATGAGGTACTTTCTTGGTCTTGAGATTTTACAATTGCCCAATGGTGTTTTCATTAATCAAAAGAAGTATGCTTTGGAGGTGCTAAAATGTTTTGGAATGGACCATAGCAACTCTGTTCACAACCCTATAGTACCAGGATTCAAGGTTACAAAAGAAGGTGGCACCCAAGGAAGGGTGGACAAGTCTTATTTTAGACAGCTTGTTGGGTCTCTTATGTACCTCACATGTGCCACTCGGCCTGATATGACTTTTGTTACAAGCCTCATTAGTTGATTTATGGAGAATCCTACTGAGGCACATATGCAGATAGCAAAAAGGGTGTTGCGCTACTTGAAGGGTACTGTTGATTTTGGGATTCTTTACAAGAAGGGAGGGGAAAATAAGCTTGTAGCTTATACAGACAGTGACTATGCAGGTGATATAGACGATCGTAAAAGCATCTCTGGATATGTTTTTATGCTTAACTCAGGTGCGGTCTGGTGGTGTTCAAAGAAGCAGCTGGTGGTCAGCTTATCTACCACAGAAGCTGAGTTTATTGCAGCCGTCTCGTGTGCATGTCAGGCAGTTTGGTTGCAGCGTGTATTAGCTAAGTCAGATTTCGAATACCAAGTGCATTGCTATCAACTGTGACAGTACCTCTGCCATTAAACTCAGCAAAAATCCAGTTATGCATGGGCGTAGTAAACACATCAATGTGCGTTTTCATTTCCTTCGTGATTTATCTAAGGATGAGACTGTCAAGTTAATTTATTGTGGCACTCAAGAACAATTAGCTGATGTTATGACTAAACCTTTGAAGCTGGGCGTGTTCATGAAGCAACGAGAACTTTTGGGTGTTTGTTCCGAAAGTCAAGTAAACTGATAGCCTGCAACTTCAGTTTAAGGGAGGGTGTTAGTGATTTGAGTTAGTTACTTGTTGTCAATAAAGACCTATTCCATAGGTCTGCATGTTTACCATTTTCTTTTCTGTTAGAATTCCACGATATTAGGAATTCTTGTTAGATATGGAATGATTTTTCTCAAATTCTGTTTCTCATGAGGCTATTTAATAGTCATGTTTATCCAATAATAGATTAGTGGTTTTTCCCTCAATTTATCCTGTTTTCTTATTGTTTCCTGATAAACCATTTATATCGAAACTAGGGTATTCATGAGGTCTGACTCTAGTGAGTTGTCAAAATTCAAATTCTAAATGTACAACTTGTTCATATTACTACTTGAACTACCCTTTGGAGTTTCTCACAACAAACCTCTATTTGAAAATATCTAAGCTATATGAATAGGGATGTGAAAACCAAATACAATTACATGTGAAATCAACTCGCATCAAATTACAAGCCACATATACTAAATAAATAGCAAAAATTAAAAAACTTGCGGTCCTTCCAAAGAAGGCACCTGAATTGAAAATTTTTCATCACCTTACAGATGTTGTTAAATGAGCTGTAAGCATTGTAAATAGGAATAACATAGAACTACAAACAGCCTTACTTTTTTCTTTTCTTTTCATTGGTTTCGGTGAAGACGATGAATGTAAAATCTTTTTTTTTTTTTTTTTAACGAGACAAAGATTCTTCCATTGATTAAAAAACAGAAATATTATCTTGGAAGATAGAAACCAAGAAATTTGATGTTTCATCTCTTTATACAATACATTGAGAACATGAAATAGCAAGGGTCCAAATGAAAGATAATCAATGTAATTAGCAAGATAAACTCTTTAGTTAGTGTGGATTAGCCTTTTCTCCCATCTTTCACATACAAGTATGTCTTATTCATTAGAACTAACAATGAGACGTATTGGATTTTTGTCGTGTTTATATCATTAGCATTAGTTCAATGAATTTATTTTTAATCTTACAAAGTCAAATTTGTAGGGAGCGTCATAAAACATATCTTTTATAATCGAATTCCTGTTACTTCAAGTTTACAATTGAAAGTTTGATTAGTATAATTTCACGTGGTAATTCGTGATAAATTGTTTGAAAAGTTTGGTAAAAGCTTGAGATTAAATTTTATACCTCTAAATGATTTTTGCCTACAAATAAGGGTGTTAAGCGAGACGAGTTACTCGAGTTCGGTTCAGATAAAATGCAACTCAAACTCTACTCTTATTCTAAATGAGTTGAATTTGAACAATTTTTTAGATTCGATTGAAAAAATAAATCTAAAAGGTTCGACTCCAACTCGCAAATCTCAGCTCGGCTCAAACTTGCAAAACTCGGCTCGGCTTGAGTTTTAAACAAGCCAAGTTTGAACAATTTTTTAGGCTCATTTAGAAAAACAAACTCGTCAAGCTCAGACTCAAACTCGAAATCGAAAAATTCGACTCGATTAACACTCTTACCTACATATTATTATATAATTTAGCTTGGTAAATTGTTTGAAAAAAAATAGAAATTTTAAAAAATTTGTTGGCTATCCACGTGGTGAAACCAGAAAAGGAAGCAAAATTTTCTCAACAATCAATACATCCAAGAGAGAGAGAGAAGAAAATGCGAGAAAGAAACCAAAACAGAAAAAAGGAGAAAATGCAGTTAGCCAGGAAATAAATTTGGGGGAGAAAATGGTGATTGGCTAAAACACAATATAAATTGGGGGGGGGGAAAGCAACACTCACACATCAATTCCAATAGAACTGGAACAGCACATAACACAAGAACAAGTGTCGACAAAGAAGAAGAGACTCGACACAAAGCCGCTTCAAGACGGCCATTAAAACCCACCCACAAAACCACCCCCTCTACTCTGCCGGCTCTCTTCTCTAATTTGCCACCACAGACTCTTCCAAAAACCCACCCAATTCGCCATTTTCTTACCCACCATTTTCTTTATATCCCTTCTCATTGGACGACTCAGTCCTATACTTCTATCTCTCTTCACCTCTCTCTAATTAACGTGTGCATTGAGGTCTCTTGGTGCATTTTCATGGCGAAGATTTCACAGCAGAGCCAGAGCAACAGTTCAAACACTAGCAACAACAGCAAAAAGTGCAACAATTCTGGGACGAAGGTGAAGAGAACAAGAAAGAGCGTTCCGAGAGACTGTCCACCCCAACGTAGCTCAATCTACAGGGGTGTGACGAGGTAGCATTATAGTGAAAATGTGTCTGTGTTCTTCAAGTTTTTGATTTAATTCCTGAATGGGATTTTTTTTTATGTTCGTTTCAGGCATCGGTGGACGGGTCGTTACGAAGCTCATTTGTGGGATAAGAACTGCTGGAATGAGTCGCAGAACAAGAAAGGAAGACAAGGTTCAATTCTTCATCATCTTTTTTGCTTTTTGTTTGATCTTTTCATTTTACTAGTAAACTTTTTTTTTTGTTTTTTTGAGATTGGGTTTTGATTGCTGATTGGATTTGGTGGTTTTTATGTTAATGGTGGCTGTGGTCGTATCCTAATCCAACAAAACCGCAGTATATCTGGGTAAGTTAGCTATGAATGATCATTATCTTCATTATTAGTATTATCTTTTTCATTGTCAAACAACCTTCCAAATGTTTAAATCCATACTTTTCAGTGTAAAATCGTATCTGCAAAACACATTTTGAAGGTTTTTTATTTAAAATGCGTATTGCAAATACGCTTTTAAACCAAATAGTGTGGGTAAAACTACATTTTTATGAAAAATAAGTTAAAACGCAAGGTATTTTGGATAGAAAATGAGAAAGTTACCCTTGAATTGAATTGAATTCCAAGCACTCACCCATGTATAAAGTCTCTCTTTTGTGTTGACAAACAGTTCATGAATTTGAGTTCTTTACAACTGGGTTGTCTGGTGAACCTTACCTACTGAAAATGCATTTTACAAATCCTCTTTTAAACCGAATAGTGTGGGATAAAATCACGTTTTTATGAAAAATAAGTTAAAAAGCACAGTATTAAAGATATAAAATTAGAAAGTTACTCTTGAATTGAATTTCAAGTGCACACCCATGTATAAAAGTCTCTCTTTTGTGTTGACAAACAGTTGATGAAATTGAGTTCTTTACAACTGGGTTGTCTGGTGGACCTTATCTGTTGTTGGTTTTTATTAGGGGCCTATGATAATGAAGAAGCTGCAGCACATGCTTATGACTTGGCAGCATTGAAGTATTGGGGACAAGACACCATCCTTAATTTCCCTGTAAATTTTCTCCCATTTTAAACAGAACATGGCTAAAATATTTGACACTTGTATGTTTTATCTCTAATTTTCTGTATAATTTTTTGTGTGTGTGTGTTTTAGCTCCCTACGTATCAAGAGGAGCTCAAAGAAATGGAAGGTCAGTCAAAAGAAGAATATATTGGATGTTTGAGAAGGTGAGTATCAAATATTAGGCTTGATTTGGTTTGTCTATAAAAAAAAACTGTATTCAAAAATTATTTTTGGGAAGAGTTTTAAAAAAGTGTGTTTTGTATTTTTTGTGTCGCAGAATTTGTTTGAATATAAAATAAAATATGAACGATTTTCTAATAAAATAAATAGCTATATATATATATATATAAATATGAACAATTTTATGTTATATCTTTAGTTGTTATTTTCAATCTTATTTGCAGAAAAAGTAGCGGGTTCTCTCGTGGAGTCTCCAAGTATAGAGGAGTTGCAAGGTATTAAAGACAGTCCTATATATATGCCATTCATCATTTTTAGGCAGGCTTTTTTAGGAATGCATTTCCTTTCATGTATCTTTGCTCATTTTTTTATGATGGGTTTTGGCGTACTAGTTAAGTACTCCAAAATTTATGACTTGGGCATCATTTGGCATGGAAAAAAACAATTTGTATGCAAAAATAAGATAAAGTACATCTGTGCTTCCATAGAACATGTAATATTTAGAGTATCGTGTACTGCTATGTACTTTTAGATGATTCAATTTTAATATTCAGCCTTGAAAAATTATCACAATTTACCCTTCATGTGAAATTGCACTTCATAGTTCATAAACACTTTATTGTGCCCTTTAAGACTCTCCACTTCTAGAGAAAGTGTACATCTAATCTAACCTTTTTGGCATCTCAACATGCATAATATATTTACAGATAAATTTTTATTACTAAGCCATGACTATTTGTTTGCTTACATTTGTGAAATGAAAATGTTACTTGAACTTAAAACATTGAGCTGATTTGTTAATTTGATCGATTATTATAATCATTTAATAGGTAATAACAACCCAAAATTAACAGTGATTCATCAAATCAATAATTTAATACATGTTATTATTTATGAATATTGTACTGGGACGGTGACTGAGGAAAGATATTATTATGGTTGTTCATCTCTTTCTCCTTCATGTGTACGACGGCATTGAAATTTGGCGGTTTTTAAATGCACAGGCACCACCACAATGGCAGATGGGAGGCTCGAATTGGCAGGGTGTTTGGCAACAAGTATCTCTATCTTGGAACATATGGTAACTTTTCACCTTAGGAGTATCTTTATTAGTATTTTTTTTTTCTTTTTATTAATTACAAGATATTTGAGCTTCTTAGAACACCCATTTTATCTTCTTGAACCATACAATTCCCCTCTCATATACACCTAAAAATAACCGACGTAAATCCTCAAGAAGGAAGCGGAAAAATTAACAAAGTTTGATCATGTGACTTGTTGTCTCTTTGAGAAGGAACAAGTGTCATCGAGTTAATTCCATCGGGTGCGGGTATCATTCTTAATCACTTCAACCCTTTTATCTCTTCATTTATCTTGTATTCAAGTAAGATTTATTGTGTATAGACCAGCCCCTCACTCTTGTTAGACAAAGATGGGTTGTGCGTGTAGGGACAAAAGCCTTAAGACAAAGATGCATTTTATAAAAATATGAGTATGAACAATGAAAATCAACTTGTTGGTTGCCAACCAAGAACTAACTCACAAAATACATCACCATCCCATTATTGTGTGATAAATGCTTACAATGGGTACAAAATAAATTATTGTAACGGTGACAAATGGATACAGTTGTTTTTAGTTACCCCCATGAAGACCTTTTCAACCTTATCATGAGCTCACCCAGTCACATATTGGAAAGGCAGTGAAATACAGTTGGTTGGTATACATATGGATCACCAACCCTCAACTGCTAGGTCTGCTATTTAAGGTTTCAAAACCCCCCAAAAAACCCCACCACTCACTTAAGTTTTTTCAACCCTTCCACCAAATTTATCATGCAAATTAAATTCCAGAATTTATTGTTAACCCAAGTTTGGTTATGAGTGAGATGGTAGTACAACATGAAGTCAGCATGAAATTAGTGGTTATGATTAATTTATTCTCGACAAAGATTTAAAAATTACACACGTTTAGTTAATACAAAGAACAAAACAACTCGAATTAGTGTTGCACGTGAATAATCCAATTTTAACGCAATAACTCATTTGCCACAGTGATCCATTTAGTTGATATGCGTAAAGAAATTGTTTTATTCTGTCCTTCTTTTTTTAAATGTTGTATTTCATGTGATATGTCAAAAATCTTATGCATTGAATGTTTGGTCGAAGATAGTGAACCCTACTAATATAACTACTCACACTGATTTAGAATACAAAATTTAATAAATAATTTAATTAGCCTAACATTGCTCCTACATCCATTGTGTTTCCACTTTATAGGGGCCTATGACTATGAGTGTCGATTCAAAGAGAAAAAGAATCTTAATTATTTGATAAAGAAATTATTAGATTATGTGTGTCGATTTAAAAAATGATATGATTAAAATAAAAAACTTGTTAGTATAATTATTGGACACAATTAATTAAATAAATATATTTTAAATTCATTAATCCTCAATACAAACTCAAAATAAGACTATGCAAACACAATACAATTGGATAATTGGCTTTACATTTTTGCCCCCTAAATTCCACACTACTGTTTTTGCAGCTACAGAGGAGGAAGCTGCAACTGCATATGATATGGCAGCCATAGAGTATCGTGGGCTTAACGCCGTTACCAACTTCGACCTCAGCCGTTACATCAAGTGGCTCCGACCCGACCAAACCACCAGTAGCCACCATCAACCAAACCCTAACCCTAATTTTGACATTAACTCAATGGCAAACCCTAATCAGGAGATAGGGTTAAACTTCCTCCACCACCAACAACAAAGCTCTAGCTCAGCCGAAGAAACACTACCTCCACCACCACGTCCGGGTGGTGGTGCCAACGCTTCGTCGGCGCTAGGACTGTTGCTACAGTCCTCCAAGTTCAAGGAAATGTTGGAGCGAACGTCGGCGGCTGATTGTCCGGCGACACCTCCGGAATCTGACCCACCACGGCGGAGCTTCCCTGATGATATACAGACGTACTTTGACTGTCAAGATTCAAGCAACTTTGCCGAGGGGGATGATATTATGTTTGGTGACTTAAATTCCTTTGCATTCCGATGCGAGCTCGACGCATAGTATAATATTATGTCAATAAATTAAATCCGAGAAATATGTGACGATGATAAAGGGTTACCTGACAAAAAGAGATTTTAGTTTTTTATTCTTGTATGCTTCTCTTTTTCATTGGAAAAAGAGAGATTGCCAGATTATTATTGGTTCTTTTGTAGATATAGATGGAAACATAGACATTCATTTATCAAGATGTTTTAATAAAATTCAGTTTATGGGCATTTAAGGGACTCACATATTTGATTTTCAGTTCAATGTTAATCAATGTCTCTTTTCTTACATTCTCTTGTGCATTAAGAGGCTTGTTTGGTGTTTGGCTAAGACAAAAGTAGAAAGTATGCAATATTGAGCATGCTAGAGCATGGTTCAAAGTATCGGCCAAGTCCAATATGATTCAGTCGAGTCGGATATGACTCAGCCCCTATCGATCCAATATCAATATACGCTATGCAAAAATCTCGATTTTTATTTGACTTGGCGATATCTTAATTAGACTTAGACATATCGGCACAAATTGGAACAACTCAGTATGAATTGAACGATTCATAGCAGAATCGGTCCGGTATGATCGAACCTTATGGAAAACGTAAGACTCCAAAATAAAACAAAAAAAGGTGAAGAACTTCAAGACCCACATCTGTAAAAGATTAAAAGCCCTCAACCAGTCCGAAAATCAAAGGCCCACTACCACAAAAATTGTAGGCATTTGTATAACATACCTGAAGAATTGAATACAGATTATAGAGATCCCCATACTGTTTCATTTTCTTCTTCTTTTTCTATTTTTTTTCCTAATTTTCTTTGCTACGAACCAATCGCAATAGATATAGAAGTAGAATTGTAGAAGACCAACCCAACAACTCTAGCCCTAGCTGTCTTTCGATGATCGCCGATGAATTTTTCAAATCCACTCTTAGATTCTTCTCTCTCTCAAGATACACAGCGTCTGAAGGACGCAAGTGTGATTAGATTTTAAAGTCTCAAACAGAGTCTTTTAAAGACTTCGTGTTGTCGGTCCCCAAGTCCCAACGAGTGAAAAATGTATACTCGATTGTTTTTATATTTTCTTAATTTATTTTAGTGTGTTTAATTTATTTTATTTATGAGAAATTGATTTTTGGGTTTATTTTTTGCCAAAGTTTACTTGGAGTAAATTTACACTTTGATAAATCATTAATATATTTAATGTAATGATTAAATACATCAATATTTTTTAATCTTAAAAAATATCGGTACTTTTTAAATCTAATGTAATAATTAAACATATCAATATTTCAATTTCAATAAGTTGAATATTGAAAATGATCAATATTTTCGGTAACACCCTTATGCTTCATTTTAATTATTTTTAATGTGTTTTTGGATTTATTATGGACATATAATATATGAATGATAATGTTTATATTTTTCAAAAAATTTTATGATTTTTTCAAATTTTTTTAGAACTTCTATCTAACATTTTGAACGTATCGGCCGATACTGCACCACGATTGATGTGAATCAATGCCCTCTGAGTTGATGGCCGATATCGCGATTTTAAATCATGTGCTAGAGAGCTATAGAAGATTAATTTCCAACTTAAACAAATGGGGAGAGAGAGATTCAGACTTGATTTGTCCAAATAGTCACAGATAACAATTTGACCGTGAGATTTCTAGCTATAGAAAACGAATGATAACCACAATTGGTAGTTGTGATTTCTGGGAGCCACAGCATAGAAAGTGATACTATTATGAGTGAAAGTTATTGTTGTGACATGTTCCTTGGATAGCAAACAGGCCAGGCTTGCCTCATGATCTGACTTTTATATGCCTCTTTTATGAAAAAACCAACCCTAAGGGCCCTCATGAGATAATCAGAGGATGAAAGCAGCCACCAAAGTTGATTTATTTTCCAAAACAATATGTTAGCAATAGGGCCTAGATGATGGGAAATGAAGGTGTGATTACTTGGGTATTGAACTTTTGCTTAGTAGGAGGTGCAGAGTTAGATGTTAGTTAGGCAGCTATTTCAACAAGAAGATCACATATTAAATACATAAATCTACATGATGCTACACAGCACGTGCGTACACACAAACACACAATGTCCTTGAGGGATCATAGAGTGGTAGACTTTCAAAATTACAAAAAGCAGTTTTTGCCTTCTAATGAACACAAATTTATTCCTTCGTTTATTCGGAAAATTATTTTTCAGGGATAACCCTCAACTCATTTCTCATTGTTTTTTAATTTTTGGTATGGTGCGGGGATGGGGATCAGGATTAAAGTGAACCCGAAGACCACTTTCATAAGTTACTGCAATGATCATGAAAGTCAAGTCAATCTTTCATGAATACAACTTTAGTTGTCCTGATTATATTCACCTATTACCCCAATGTTGGCAATTCCTCTATCTACCTGTAGGATATTATTCGGGGTTAAATATAATTGAGCATTGAAGTACAGAACGATGATAACTTTAGGAACGATTTTTAAGTGAGTGAAAATCTTAGAGAGCAAAGGTCAATCAAATGAGTGGAAAATTTCAAAGAAAAGATCCATAGAGTTCTCTCCATGTCCTTTTGGAATTTTAATGTACAAAACACATCACCAATTTTACTCTTTTTCCTGTCATTCAGTTGGCTAGCTCCTTTCTGCAAAAATGTGACTCTTTCCTTCTAGTTTAAGTGAGAATCTACCCTACGGAGGGTTGATGTATTCAGCTCCACATTGCAGCACAAGACCCAAAAGGGGAACAAGAGAAGTCAGTACCTTTGTGTTCCAAGGTAGAACTGAAAATACATTTGTAGATTGCTATTACATAGTGCAGCAAAGTTTTGAATCAATAGCAGCCAAACATATGCAGAATGCTTGATAGCCAGTCAATGGATATCTGCAAAACAAGATTTCAACTTTCAATTGGTGAACACTTTCCTTTGTATTTTGGTCTAGCTCTAGATAGATATGTCAAAGACAAATTACTCCTGCTTAAACCGGTAAATGTATTTGTTCAATGATTCGGTTCCTGTTTACCTGTAATCTATCACATACTTTGATTTCCCCACCCTTCCAAGTTGCAGGATTGTCTGCCTCCCATTCTTCTATGCAAGAAACACAAATCACCATTAAAACACAAATATTGCCAATACCCTTCTTGTTAGTGCACTTAGTTATGAGTCCCTGTCTTTGTGTTACATACAGTTTTTGTGCTAAAAAGCGAGAAAATTTTCCACTTTTACTTTGGAAATTTGTTTAAACAGAATCTCATGAATTCTTTGGGCCAAGGAAGTTCATGTCACCTCCAAAGTCAACTGAAAATTCTTTACTGAGCTCTGAATTCTAAGTCCTGCTCTTCCCCTGTCTCTGAAATCTAACTCATATTGTTTTGTAACCTGGAACAACATAAACTGGTACTCAATATATATATTCAAGTACTCAAGCTACATTTTTAAGAAAAAAAAAATGAGATGATTGTATTTCCATAAAATAGCCTCCCCAGCAAACTTACATTATTGTAATGAGGAACCCTCGAAAATAGCTGATGTACTTTATCCATTTTCTCTTCCCAATCCTTGGGTAATCCATTAATATGTTGCATCTACAAGAGAAACTACTCATTTCACCAACTTATAGAACTGTTACATATTCTTGACAGGGTGAGGCCTAGCATTAGTCAACTCACCTGAGTCGTATTCTTTAGCTGCATGGATTGGTGCTTGGGTATCCATGCCTTAATGCTTCTGTAACTTCCCATCAAGGTGGCTATTGTAGGCATGAAGCTGTAGGGAACACATACGTAATAAACATCAACAAACAAAAGTTCGGAATGTGTGTGTGTGTGCATTGGTTAGAGATGACTTACTTTACAACAGCCAGAGGTTGTTTGGTGTGTTTGGTCACAGAATTCAGATGGCTCCCCTGCAATCAAGCGGATTATGAAACCAATTGACAAAATATTTGTGCTAAACTTTTAACATAACAAAACTACTGTTGCCAATCTTCAAAAGTGATCATGTTCACTACATAGGAGATAAGAATAAATTTTAAGAAATTAAACCTGATTCCATATATGGTACTTTGATCCCATGAGGTTAGCAGTTACAGTTCCAACGAAACTATCATCTGAGTTATGCAATAATCCCTTTGTATGTTGAGCCACCATAAACTCAGATTTTCCATTATGCCTTTTGTGATGAGCCATAGCAAGTTTCCGATCCTGTCGTCCTTGACCCTCCTATAGTGTTTCAAATGAAAATCAAAAGACTCAACCATAAATTGTCATCTGAGAAATTCAGGGTTATTTTCCAACCAAAAGGCAATAATACATTGACACCTCGAAACCAAAGTAAATTCACACATGCTCTCTTTATGAAGGGGTGTGTCAAAGAGAGTGAGCGGGAGGGTTTTACAAAGACCAGGGGGGCTTGCATGGCACCATCATTGACGAACAGTTCCCATTCAAATAAGATTCAAACATGAATTAGAAGCCTTACACCACGCACAATACCACCAACTAGAGAATTGTTAATGCATTACTTAATTCAATTGCTAACATTTGATGAGAAATGTCCGGCGTGTGGCTCCTCTGCTGTTGGAGGAAAACAGCAGTGTGCTGTTAGAATAAACGACACCGTTTTAATTAGATTTTTCTTTTTCAAAATTTTTCCACCGTGAAACTCTCCCGTACGCATATCTTCTGTATCTGCATTTGCACAGTCCCTCTCTCTTGTACAAACTTTCTCCTAAAACCCCTAAAATTTTTAACAGTGATTATAACTCTCCCTATGCGAAACAAGGGTTCTCTATCCTTCTATATCGCAAACACCTATAGACGCATGTGCAATTATACATACACAAATAAATTAATCTTCTGCAAACTATAGTTTTCTGTCCATGAGCTCCTCTAATGGCTGCAAGCTCTCAACTTCGACAATTTCAAGGAATTTTTCCAAATAGGTCCATTTAAACTCCTGCCTTACATCATTTTCATGCGGAAATAATATTCCATTTATCCCACAAAATGAAATACGAAGTTTCTGCAAACAAGTGAGTCTAAAATTTTTACAGGTGCTCACTTTCTCTAGAATTCCCTCTCTTTTTTTTTTTTTGGGAATTGTAAAACCCCCTATCTCAAGATCCAATATTTTCACATATTTGCACTTCAGATTAATTCATGCTTGCTTGCGATGATTGGGTAAATTGCTTGGGCTTGTTTGGATTCGGAAAAGGAGAGAATAGCGAGGAAAGAGGCGATAGGAGAGTGTAGAGAAGAAAGGTTACTTGGGTGGAAAGAGAGGGTTTACTTTTAAGTGCAGCTCGTGGGTCTGTAGAACATGAGAGAGAGAGAGAGAGATTGTGGAAAGGAGAGTCTCACGGGTATGTTTTGCAGTGGAAAAATTTTGAAAAGAAAAATCTTATTAAAACGGTGTCACTTATCCTAACAGCGCACTGTGCTGTTTTCCTTCAACAGCAGAGGAGCCACGCCCCTGAAATATCAGGAATTTATTTCGATTGCTTGCATTTGATCAGAAAAGTTAAAGTCCGCAATATAAGCAGCAAGGTATCTTGAAGATTAGAACTTCACCCAAAATATGCCCACAGGGCACCAAGTAAACAAACAACTAAAAGAAAATCAATTCCTTGACTACATCTAATGACAAAGGTCTACAAAATAATCTCCGAGCAAAAAGCTCACTGCATTTATCTTCAAGACTGAACTGCAAAGAACCCCAACCTTTCTTTTTCTCTTTAGTTCGCAACCTCTAGCAACTCTTAAGTTGCAAATTACAATAATCCCACAAGAGACTTACAGTGTACAAATGATAGCATAAAATTTTCTCTTGAGAGATCTCAACGATGAAGTGTGGAGAATATCATTGTCCAATTTTAAGAAGTAACATGAACAAACAGAATTGAGCAAAACAATTAAAGTGATATCAGTTCAGCAAAACTTAGGAAGTTGAAGTCCTAAGCAGAATCAAAGAAACAACATATGTAGCATATATAGGATCCTTCCATTCAAAAAGCAGCATCTGGTATAACCATTAAACCTTTTGTTCTATTTTTGCCATAGTTTGTTCTTTGGCAGAAGGAACATGGTTGTCCACTAATAAATCACTCAAAACTTCCATTGAAATATTGCTATTTCAATGTTTATACGCGCTCTCATCAGTAGATACAAACAAAATCTCTTAAATATTACAAACGTTGCAGAGACCTTACATTGGTATAAAGTGCGAACAGGGTGCCCCCATCTAGACCTTCCGGAGATGCTTCCTTCACTATAACACAGGTACATCTGCCTATGTCCACAGGCAAAGGCCTATACAACAATGACCTGAAAAACAAACTGTCCATTCTCACAAATTGCATATAAAATCTAGCTACAGCTGAGCAGTTCCTAAATTTCAGAAGGGTATATACATATAATCATAATAACCAACCTATTAGGTAGCGTAGTCCACGATGAAGCTGGTGCTGCCTCTGAATCTGAATAATCCCAAATGTTCCCAGAATTTGTGTTATCCGAGTCAATGTGTTCCCAAATTTTGGGCTTCAAATTCGAATCAGGCTCGTTCATTTGCATACATAGCTGAAGTGAAGAGGGCTTCAACACCCTATCTTTTAAATTGGACTTCCCATTTGGAAATTCTTTGGTCACAACACCAAACCCATTACTGGGTACTGCATTTTCTTTGTCAACATTGCTTGATTTTTCGGTTTTACTGGGAACGGCATTCTCTTTGTTGTCGAAGCCAGTGACACGATTCCGACCAATGTGGACGCCCAGAGGGACGACGTTGGTGCCGCCACCTTCGCTGCAAGTACGGTTGTGTTTGAGCTCAGTCAGGGGATTGTTATAGAGGGAGTTGTATGAAGACTGGCGCGGAATTGAAGATTTCTTCAAACCAGACATTAGGATCTGGAAAGTATATAGAGACAAAGGGTGACAGTGTTATACAGGGAAAGTTTCCAAATTCACTTCCAAAGTGAATTTGAGTCGCTGTACATTATGGGTAGCTTAGGAGTTGGAGAAGAGCTCAGATTGGGTTGTGTTGTGTGTGGGGGTTTTGTAGTGGCTGATGTCCATGTGCCTTTGTCTTGTGCTTGATGAAGTTAATGAAATCAACATCTAGTTTGAATTTGAAAATTTTGCCTCGGAAAATGTGTAGTTTTTGAACGTTGGACATTTGTGGGTGGATTAGTTGATATCGGAATTCCTCCCACCAAATTATTCAAGTATCGGTTGTTGACATTACTCTATTAACATTAACCCGCACGGATAAACCAGTGGTTTATCGATTGAAACGTCAATATTACTATTCTTGAGAATAAATTTTTTCCTTTGAAATATGAAGCTTGGTGCAGTAAGACAATAAATTTAAGATTTCAAATCTTTGATCTTTGTCTTTTGAAATATACATATGCTCTAATATACAGTAGTGGCATGATGTTGATTTAAGATAACTTGTAAACTCAAGTATTCTGAATTTAATTCTATCGTATTTTGAGTTTGACTGATATCAATAGTTAACAAGTGGTTTCAGATGTCCGAGTTTACTCTCCAAGGATGGGTCTAATTTGGTCTTGTTTTTAAAAAATTTCTCATCATAAAAAAAAAAAAATTAATTTTTTAGAAGGTATTACTATCATGTTAAAGAGTAATTAGAGGATGAGGATGCCCCTTTACATGCAAATTAGATGTTGCACCTATCAAGGTAACGAGATTTAAACATAAAATCTTCTACTCTTACATCGTTTTTTAAAATTATTTTAATATTAAGTTGTGTGAGAATTACTCTAATACGATGTTAAATTATTAGAGAGTAAGTGACCCAGTACTTACTTTGACCTACTGCTTGACTTTATCCCCAACGGTAACTATTTTGGGAATGGTGGATTCAGCTGTGTGGTGTGTGTATAGGGGGACTAAATGTGTTTTTTCAAATGTAGATTGGGATGACAATGAGCGGGAAGCAGATTTGAATATCATTTATGAAGCTGTGTCTGTTCAGCTGTGTATGTTTGTCTGAATCACAAGAATAAACTCAAGTGCAGTAGTGTGTGATGTACAGAACTCGTCTGACTCAATAAATTTACTATTTATAACATCAGACATATTAATAGAGTGGGACTATCCCCCATACTTAAATATTTTTCTCAACTCATTTAATTCTCTAATTTTAAACTAATAAATTCATCTCGTCTTTATTTATTCCATTAATGATTAAATCCACTCCGTCTATACTCACTAAGCAATATCTAATGGTCCGTTTAATACGAAAGATGAAAAGAAGGAAAAGTAAAAGGAATAAATTTTTTATCCATGAAAAAAAAAAGTTATTTTCTCTCTTTTTTGTTTGGTAAGAGGGATGGAAAATAAAAAAAATATATTTTTCGTCGTTTGATATTAGATTAAAAATGAAAGGAAAGGAAAACCATACATACCCAATTTTATAATTCTACCCTTTAAATATATAATAAAGTCATTTTGTGTGTTTCTTTTGTGTTAGTAAAAAAATAATTAGCAAAAGAAAATTAACTTAAAAAAAAAAAAGAACAATTTAAAATAATTTTCGAAGTTATCCTAAATAAAATGATTAAAGCTTTTGCTTTAATTTTTCATCATTTGGTATTAGATGAAAATGATTAAAGCAAGAGTCCAGCTGAAGTAGGAGGTTCCAGTTGAGAAAATCCGGCTAAGAGCAACTGCATTCTGCTGAATGTGAAAAAATAGATAAAGGAAAGAGTCCAGCTGATGAAGGAGATCAGCTGAATTTTCCAAAGACTTATCTGATGAAGTGAAAGAGTCCATCAAAATACAAAAACCGAAGAGATCAGCTGCCCATGGTCTGTAAGTTTGCATAGTTGTCGTCGAGTGGGTTTTGTCCAGGGCCGGCCCAATAAGGGAGGGAAAAAAGCTTGGACTTTAGGCCCCAGTTATAAAAGATGCATCATATTTTATATATTCATAGTATAATTAAGGCTCAAACTCTAAATTCATAATATTCTAAGTCACTACTCAAAGAACCTTATAAAACTTAAGCCCAATAGGAAAATTACATGTTAAATGGTCTAGAACTCATCTATAAATCAACCCACAAATTCAAGATCCATATATTTCTCCTTGTCCTAATGTTTTACAAAATTTATATCTTCAAACCCACCTAAAAATAGTCCACTCAATTTTGTTAGCAAGAGTGATAATCTAACTTTGGTCGATAGAGAATTAAAATATCAAATTTTAATTTTTTAAAGTAACACTGATAAATTAAATTTTATTGTCGTTTCATATTTTCAGGGCTTTTGTTTAAATTCAAGCTTTATTATTATTATAGATCCTTTATTATCACATGTATTTATTTTGATTATATATTATAGACAACCAACCAGATATAAAAATAAGAAAAATTCAAAAACTATTTGTAACTCAAAAAAAATCTTTTGATAAATTTGTTACACATATCAAACAAAAAAATATGTTTGTAATTGATAATATATGATAGCAAAATTTGAGAATACAATAATTTGATTAAGAATGTGTATTTTAACAAGCGAGAATTATTTTTTTTTAAAAAAATTGTAGTAATGTTAAAAAATAAATAAATAAATAAAACAAAACAAAAAACTCTATTCAAATTTATCGCTTTAGGCCTCAATATGTGCCGCCCCTGGTTTTGTCTACCGAAGAGATCAGCTGCCCATTTGCTGATCGAGTTCTTCGTTTCATTGTCCTTGTATGAGAAGTGTGTGTCATTGCTCATGGTCTGTGAGAAGAGGGTTTTGTTTGCTATTTTGAGAAGTGGGTTTTTTAGAAGGCAAAAAAGTAAAATAATCATTCAAAGGTTAAATTCTTTTGGCTTCTTCTCATTTTCCACCCATTTTTGAGGGAAAAATATTTTGTGGGCGGGAAGAAAAAGCCCTCCCTCTAATTTTCTTTTCTATCACTCTTTCTTTTTATATAAAACAATGAAAAGTTTTTCCATCTACCCCATTTTCTTTCCCCCTTTTTCCATCAAAACAAACAGACATTAAGTCCACTTCATTTTATTCTCACTCTTTATACATTCTAACCAAACCATATTCTATGTCTTCTTCCCACAAGATTTCATCTTTCTATCCTGTCTTACGCACATTTTTATGGCCAATCATATTCTTAACTTTATTACTTTTGTGCCCTCTATTTTTATTTACATTGTTATATAGATTAAATATGGTATATAAATATTATCAATCATATTTTAGTTGAGGTATAACTTGAATGGGTCAACTCGAAATACTTACTATTTGGAGACTAATTTTTAACTCTCAAACCTCTTACAATTTTCTGCCATGCATTTCTCAAGTGACATATATGTTAGTATTGATTTTAAGATAAATAGATTATTTCATGTACATGTATCATATTTTAGGATTTTTAATGTGCATTCTGACTCATAGTCCTTTTATTCTTATATTTTATTTGATATTTTATTATAAATATTTCAGATGCATAATATTATATTCACCTATATACAAATAATAAAATGTTTCTTTTTGATTAATTATTTATGTATAAATAAGATAAACTTAATCACCAGTTGAATGAATATATACATAGGGTATCTTAGTGGTCTAAAATTAGAAAGTTAACTGTGGTGAAAAAAATATTTAAGTAGTGAAAAAAAAAATCTTCTCCTTTTTCGCTTAATTTTCATTTCTGTGAAAAAAAAAATTCAAACCTCTATAATGAAAAAAAATCTAGTCCTTGTTGAATCTATAATCTTATTTCGATCTCACACAGGGATGGTAGTGGACAAGGTAAAAATGGATATTCGTCCAAATCTATCTCGTTTAAACTGAGGATGGACTATACATATTGTACGAAAGACGAATCCAATTTTAAGAAACCTAGCAATTAGAGTCCGTAATTCCTAAAAAATCATAAATAAATGAAGAAATAACACAAATTACCCAATCATCTTAGGGTGATGTTAGGATAAAATTTGTTATAACTATTTCTAGAAATTATTTAAAATCTTCTGATAAATTAGAAATTTCATCAATCTATTATACTCCCACTAGAAGATCAACTTTCTCGGTCCCAAATCGAAGAAGAGATAACGAACTCATAATTGAAGAAATTAAAATTTCAAAAAATAAAATTCCACATGGAATTTATAGACAAGATAAAGAAATTTTTAATGAATCTTCTCTAGAAGAAGATATTGATCCAACTCCATCCAAAATTGAATTTCAACTATAGTCTGTATGGATTTACACCAAAAAGAATTTGTTGTTAATAAAAAAGAAATTAATGAAGAATTTAATCTTCCTAAATATGAAGAGTTTAGGAATTGATATTTTAAAACCATGAGTCCTAAAGAACTTCAAAACTATAAAGAAGGGTTTTACTCTATATAGAAAGGGAAAAAAAGATAATTCCTTTTGTTAACTAGTTTTTAACCTATTACGCCCCTTCTAATGTAAATCAGTTAAATGAAATTTGATGGTGCGAATCAACGTGGGTGAGCAGAAAGTGCAAGTGACGTGTGATGATCGTGGATCAGAGCTACAAGGTTCGTGTGTGATGTTGGAGTGTAATGCTGAGGGGATTTAAAGGTGCACATAATGTAGATATAGTGGTTCACCGGCTTAGGAGCTCGGCTAGTCCACTTCTTCAATGGAGGCTCTTGCTCTCTCTTTTTTATTCACCACTCTAATGTGTTACAATTCGATATATCTCGAAATTTTTGTTTTTTCTCTGCCCCATCTATGGAGGCATTACATAGTATTTATAGGACTATTCCCCATTCTATCGGATCTCAGCCGAGATCTCTGCCAGCCATTAGTGGGATTCTTCTTGATTTTAGGAGAGAATCTTGGTTAGTTGAGAGTTTCATGCCTTGAACCCAACTTTTGCAGTTATCCAGCTGTTCTGGTCTGTCCCGCTATCATCTCTCTAAAGAGAGCTCTGGCCCCAGACTTCTGAGCTCCTAGTATTCTATTAGACCTCCTGACCTGACCTTGTTTCCCGAGCTCGCTCTTATGACTTATTCGAGGTATCATCAGTTGC